GTTAAATTTAAAGGCTGATATTAATTCTACCGTGTTTTATATAAGTATGCAGGGACTTGTCTTGATGCCCTTCTAATATTGATAACTACCTAAGATTGATGTCAAAAACTCTTTGGACTTGAGATATCTTTAGAACTCATGTCTTATAAAACATCCCTATACAATTAATTGCAGTTTAGATGGTGTAAGGTTTTTACATATCTGACATATTAAAGTACAATTATGACCATATTTTTCATACCTTCAACCACAGTGGCATCAGCCATCGCGCCCACGCCCCTTTCATCCAGTGTTGTTCTAACATCATCGTCCACAATACAAGCAACTACACAGCCGCCTTTTATCGGTAAGTTAACTTGCGTTGATTATGAAACATTCATTATTTACCACATCAGGATAGCTAAGTTCTTAGCTTCAGAAGATCGCCAGGCTGTCACGCCTATGGCCTCGTACTCAACATCACTGCGTAATACTTGATAGAAATGACGTAAGGGTTTGTTGTTGTTCATAATCTGATCTCATTTATCTCTTTGGTAAAATTTAGTTCGAATAAACAAGTTCAAATGGTTAATGGACAGATAGGGGTGACCATATCAAAGTTATCTCGAGCCGTTTTCAACTGAGCTAACATCAAATCTCACTCTCATATATACATATCAAGTGCACAGTTGTGACGTTAGAGAGAAACGTTACTTCTACAGGTCATGAATTCTTACGATTGTGATAGTTAAGATCGAGGCAATAGTTGTTCTCAACATGTCCTTATAAACATGTACAGTAAACGAAGTTACACGACTTTTTCTATTGACTTATAATTCGCAGTGTGGAGAGAAAGTGAGTTGTTTAACAAATTTCACTTTGTTTTTTATCTCAGCATGCGGGGGAACGTTAAATGGATCATCAGGATCGTTTGCCTCTCCTGGATATCCTGGCTTTTACTCCAACAACTTGAACTGTTTATGGACTTTGCCTATTCCCGCCAATGGAATTCTCAGGCTTCAGTTTATTGTGTTTGAAACAGAGTCATTGTAAGCCCTAGTCATGATTAGAATTAAGTTATTAGCAGTACATCTATAATTTAAATTGTAATAAGAGGAAAGTTAAAATCAATTGTGACTTGCATAAATGAACAGGTCTTTTGACTTATGACACTAATATTTCGACAATTAGACTGCAATTCAAGAACTTAACAGATTTCTTTCTTACCGGGTGGATGAATGCATATCAAATTATTATTATTACTATACATATCTATGTTTTATTCAACTTTTAGCTCGATACACGACCCCAGAAGCAAACCTAGCTGTTGCTTTAAACCAAATCGTGTTTAAGATACGGATTGTTGTTATTGTTGTTGTTTTTACCTGGTTTTTCTTTAAGATTTGATTTCTATAGAGCGGTTTTCAATTGAGTGCCGTAAAACCAAAACCAAGTAATCAAGTACTCTAGTCAATCACAAAGGACATAGACAATACAGTGAGTCAATTAAAACTCGAAGTAAATGCAAGTAGCCGACGTGAAGCGCGGGAAAAAGTGAGTGAACAAGTCACGATTGGTTTTGGGTTTACTTCTGATTGRCGTAAGTTTTTAAAGCCAATCTGGTAGGTAAGAAAACTAACTAATTTTCGACACTCGTATCAAAACAGCTATTACGTTATTACAACTGAAAAGCACGATGAATCAGAGGTTTTAATGCTTCTTTCAACCTTGAAAGTTCTCACACAAAGTTTGTACTTGTATGCATTTGTTTGCAGCTTTGACGTCGTTGAGTTGACCGACAACTTTGACCAGACCATAGAAAGGCTCAGTGGCTCTAGGTCGGGATTCACTGTTACAGTTAGAGGAGACAGAACTACGTTGCTGACTATCAGATTTACCACCGACTCTTCTGTCACAAGACAAGGTTTCAAGGCGCAATACAGCATAACGTCTGGTGGGTAACCTCTCCCACGACTGCCAGGAGCGCCAAAGAACGAATTGAAAATACTCCTTAATTTTAAAGGCTGAATCCATCAGCTATGCTTTGAGCAAGTAAAACCGCACTAAGGTTGGCTGAACTTGAAATGCTGAATTCGCTTAACATTTGTTGGTATTCTATTAAATATGTTTTTCCCGTTTTACTCTTCGTCAATCTTAATTGCCTTTGCACGTCTTTTCGGAAATATTCGGAAATGTACGGAGAATATTCGCGAGTCTAAACCTAGTATGGAGAAAGTTCGAAAATGCTATGGAAAAAGCTAGACACTCTTCGAAAAAAAAGCCAGCAACTTCACTATTTTAGTAAGTATGTTAATATTCTCCCTGAACTTCTTCCCATAGCTCCGATATCTTCGCTCGCACCCACACCTTCTTCATCAGCAGTTATTGCAACACCGACGCCCACAATGCAAGTGACTACAAGGCTGCCTCCTACCGGTAAGTTAACTTGACTATTAGTGCGTTATTCATTGTTATTGCAAAAAATTATTCTCTCTCACTTCGAAATAAAACAAAAACCAGGGCTTAATTCAAATTCCAAGCGTACTTCAATTTGGCTTCAGTGCCAACGTAGTATGTTTGGGTGGATGCGATACCTGGTTTGAGAAAACCAGCATGTGATCGATAAATGCGATTTTGAGGTCTTCGTTTCTCGTGAAAATGAGCCTGTTTGTTCATTCTTAAAAAAATCTCGTTTGGTTGTGTCAGTCCTTGAGAAATCCTGGATCCGTCTCTGTATTGCTCTTTCTTTCAACAAATTATGAAATAAAGCAAACTGTAACTTAAACAGTATTGGCAGTAAAGATCACCTTTTTTTTCCATGTGGCCAAGCAGATGTATTTTGTTTTGCAGCAGAATGTGGACTTGGAGACCTTGCTGGAACCAGTGGATTCCTAACAAGTCCAAATTTTCCAAATAATTTTCCTCGAAACACCGAGTGTACCTCGACTATTACAGTTCCTGCTGGGCTTATTATCAAATTGACCTTTCTCAACTTCACATTGGAACCAAATCAGCAAACTGACTGTACGGGTTCTCCCGGAGGAGCCCGTGTTTTTATTACTAATGTGGCATCAGATGATGGCGCTGCACTATTCAGGCTTTGTGGTCAAAACATTCCTAATCCGGTGTTCTCTGTCGGGAATTTCATCCAAGTGAGATTGCTGTCACTCAACATTGTGGTCTCAGGGTTCAAGGCATTTTACGAGGCAATCTCTGCCGATGACTGTAAGTTAGCCCACCAAATACCAACAGTGAAACCTGCATTAAGCGGACACCCTTTTGACACTCACTAGTGTCCGCTTAATGCAGGGTGCCCTTCCTAAACAGGTTCTAACATATTGTACAATAATAATTTATTCAGTATTAACTTTTTGCGACACAGTGCAAGATCAAAGACTGTTCATAGCACAATGTCCAGTCAGTCAATGCAGCAATCTGGAATAATCTAGCTACTTAGCTTGAAACCGACATCGCTGAACAAAGGAGTCTGAGCTGAGCTTTTAGAAGTAAAAACACTTGAAGTGTCCATTTATTGCAGGTTTTGTGCAACAAAATGGGTGTAGGCGTCCGCTCAGCATAGGTGTCCGCGGAATGCG